CCATGCCTAATCAAAGTGATATTGAGCAGGTATTACTAAAACAATAAACAATAATCCAAATGATGATATGAAAAGAATAAAATATTTCATTCAAGTCCTATATTATAAATCCAGATCTTTTCTTTTGTTCATGATATACACACCCAGCCTTGTAATAAACATTTCCGGTTGTCATCTAGGTGGCAGAAGTATGACGGACTATAAAAAGTTCACAGAAAAATTACAGTACTTTTCAATTCCATTTTCCAGAAACTTTTTGAAGCCCATTTGTAACATTAACTAAGTGAAATATTGATTCTTTATTATTTGTTGCCCCCAGTCAGCTGTGTCAGAAAATGACTACTATCTACCCAGATGCTCAGGACACAAACAGGAACCATGCCAGCCCCTCTGTTTTCTCACAGCCTAAGCAATCCATCAATAAGATCCTGCAAGTTTTACCTCTAAATTGTATTAAGTCCAAATGACCCTCCTCCCTCCCCAGGACTATTGAAATAGCTTCTTATCCAATTTCTGGGACCTGATCCTTGTCTCTTTGCAGACTATTGACACTACACAGTGATCATATATTCCCAAGATCCTCAGTTTAGGAACACTGGCGACTGAAGGATAAACACTGCACTGCTAACCATAAAGTCGGTAGTTCAAACCCACCAGATGATCTGTAAAATAAATATGAAGTTTTCTGCTCTAGTAAAGATTTATAGCCTCAAAACCCAGTAGAGGGTTGCTATGAGTCATAATTGACTCTGTGGCAGTGGATTGGATTTAGTGTTTAAAAATAACCCCCAAAGCCTAATAATGAGAATTTTAACACATGGTGAAGAATGTAATCAATGCAATGGAAAAATGTCTGTAAAAATTGTTGAATGAGAACCTACTTTTCTAAATTAACTTTCACCAAAAATTAATAAAACATTATTTAAAAAGTAAACCTCCAGAGTTGCATTTGCAAGGTTATAAGTCAAATAGACATTTACTGTGCACTTAACACGGGGATGCCTATCTTCCTGACACTCTGTGTTTGAAGTCTACTTAGTGTTCTATAATTGTGGTTGTGAAGTGCCGTTGAACTGATTCCAATTCATAGCCACCCTGTATAGGGTTTCCAAAGAGTGGCTGCTTAGTTTGAGCTGCTGACCTTGTGATTCAAAGCGACCTTGCAGTCCAGTGCATTAACCTACAGCACCACACCAAGATGCCACTGTTCTCTAATACCAGTGTTCAAATTTCTTAAGGGAGAGCATATGTAAAACATTTCTAATTGAACATAAATTTGCTTTGCTGCAGACTGATGGCAAGCTATTAAACAAGAGGTATATATATTATGAATTTATATTTTGCTTATTTATAATTTCACTCTATGTTTTTTAAATGTAATTTCATTATTCTGTATGATTAACAGACCATCAGTAGAGTAACTATTTTCAATCATGGCAACATCTCATACTTACAAAATAACTGTAGGCCATTTAATTTATTTAGGTTTGATGTCAGAAGAATAGGATCCTACTTTAACAGATACATGTATACATATATATAGCTGCACTTTTTAGTTTCACAGTTACTTAAGAAAACTGAAAATAAAAAATGAAATAGATATTTTTCATAATCTCTTTCAAAGCATTGTTATTGTTAAATGCCATCGAGTTGGTTCTGATTCACATTAGAAACATTAATGAATACATGCAAAAATATCTTCAGACCAGTGTTTTTTAGCAATTTAAAAATGGTCTTGAGGTCACTTTCGTTTAAGAAACAAGTAATTTCTATTTTATTTTCCTTAAAGAAAATGTGCATCCTTCGAAGTCTATTAGCAATTTCAAATAACATATGACAAGCTGAAAAGTGATATGACAATTTTTATGTAAAGTGGAAAGAAGAGAAAAGAACAATGATACTACTATGAAAAAAGAATATAAGTAGATTTCAAGGTTATAATTTACTTTAATAATGATAATGGCTACAACAAATGTTAAGACACGTATTAAATGTAAAAATTATAGATTTTTTCCATTCAACCTTTTAGTTGTCATCTTTGAAGCATTTCTAATTAGAGATATCCAGTACTGTGGCATGCACAATGCCTAAGGTACTTATTTAAATGAGTTAACCTCAGGATAGATAATCCATTGTATTAATTGGCTTTTATTTAAATAATTTTAGAGGTTTTATAAAACTCAATGCATAAGACTTGCTGAATAGGTTAATATACTCACAGGCAGTATGTGTATCACTTGCATATCAATTTTCATGCTCACTGCTTGTAATAGTTATCACAATCAAATGGCCAAAGAAACCGAAGCACAGGTCATCTCTTCATCCCTGCTGCTTCTTCCCATTTCTGAAGCTGACTTCGTAACCATGTGTGTTCACCAGTGCACATTCAGAAACCCCAAGCCTGACCCAGCTCCTTCTCAGCTGCCTCACTATTAGTTAATGGCAGTGTCTGCTTTGGTGTGATAAAATAAGTGGATGCTAGTTTAACCACCAGAGAAGTCCCAAACTTCTCTGCTCTATACAAAATCTCTGTCCTTCCATATGATATCCTTAATTATCCTTCCACAGAAAAACAGGACACACAATGAGCCAGCTTTGGTGTTCCTCCAAAATGGTGATAGATCATATTTAGCTTCTTTGTCAACACAACAGCTGAAGCAAACTGCCTGAACTCCACCAACAACCATCTTATTATTAAGGTTGTGTGAAGTGCAACCTTAATAATAAGATTATTATTATTTGATTATCTTTATGACTTATTTTTTTCTTCAGCAGAGCCACAAGGTTAGCAATTTGAATCTAGTAACCACTTAGCTGGAGAAATATGAGGCTTTCTGCTCCAGTAAAGTTTTAAAGTCTTGGAAACCCTATACAAGGTCGTTAAGAGTCAGAACCAACTCCGTGGCACACAACCACGTTCAATAATACCAAAAAGAATGGTTCCTTCATTTGAGGAACAAAGGTTGAAGAAGGAGTTTTGAGCTAATATTCTGTACCCCAGGATAGGTAAGACAAGAAATGTAAGACTCCTGATAAGAATTAAACATGGTAGTTGTGAAGAGAAAACCAGTTAAGAATCTATAATAAAGTTATAGCCTGAAAAAGATGCTCCAGGATCTCATTGCACATAACATAGATGCATAGGTACCTCGAACCCAACCTCTCTCATCTCAGTCATATTAACTCCACTGATAGAAACCAAATGGTAAATAGTCTAGAAGATGAAAAGGGTGAGTTTAGAAGAAAGAACCTTTTTTTGAACCACTTCCAGGACTACCAAGTTTGAAGCCCTGAACACAACTGCTTCACCGTGAGGAACTGTTGAAATATTCTAATGTTGCTCTTGTTGTTATTAAATGCCATTGAGTTGTTTCTGACTCACTACAACTCTGTATAGCATTTCCAAGGAGCTGCTGGTGGATTTGAACTACGGTTCTTTTGGTTAATAGTCCTATGTTTAACCTACAGCACCATACCAGGAGACCATTCTAATATTGGTGGTGGTGGTGTGTAGTGGAGTTGGCTCCGACTCATAGCAACTCTGCATAGGGTTTCCGAGGCTATAAATCTTTACAGGAGTAAAAACCCTCATCTTTCTTCTGTGGAACTGCTTGTAGTTTCGAACTGCTGACCATGAGGTTAGCAGCCCAACTCATAACCACTAAGCTACCAGAGCTTCTTAGATATCAAAAATTTATGAGCTAAAGAGTTCACCTAGGTATTAAACCAAAATGGACTTGCAAATGATAATTTACAATAAATTTTTTTCCAATTTAGTCAATTTCAAAATTGTGTTTTAGTTCATAGTATCACACCCATTTAATCCATTGCCATCAAGTCAGTTCACACTCACCATGACACAATAGGAAAGAATAGAATTGCAATGTAATAGTTTCCAAGGTTGTAATCTTTACAGAGGAATCCTGGTGTGACGCTGTGGGTTAATGTGCTGTACTGCAAGGTCGGCTGCTCAAGTTCACCAACTACTCCTTGGAAACCCTGTATAGGGTCAGGGTCGCTATGAGTCATAACCGACTCGATGGCACTTAACAATAACAACAATCCTTACAGAAGCAGACTGCCACAGCTGTCTTCTGGGGAAAGGCTAGTGACTTTGAAAAGCTAACCTTTGGTTAGCCACCGTATCACCAGGATTCCTTAGTATCATGCCATAAGTTACTTATATTTTTAAAATATGGATTAAAATATATATGAATAATAGTAGTAATAAAGCTGATTCAAACAAAATAAATCTAAATATATTTTATTTGGAAAAAATAATGTTTTATACCCCATTCCCCATCAAACAAAATTCTCTTAAGCTAGAATCACATAGGGAACAAAACATAATATTGGGAAAACAATTTTAAACTAGGATAACTTAGAAGTAAATAATTTAGCTATAAATGTTTTAATGTTGTCTACAGATACTACCACTTATCTTAATGTCTGAAATACAATTGCTTCATTCTCAGTAGAAACGCTTGCTGTGCAATAGGTGCTGGTTTTAACAGCCTACTTCCAAACACCAGGGTTAGATTGAACATGACCATTAAACCAAACTTTAAACAGTAATCAGTAGAAATGAAAGACTATGCCCAAAACAGAAAGACTATATTAAAACTTAACACCAAACTGAACTGAATTATTTTTAAAAACCTATGAGAAAAGAGTTAACTGGAACATTTCTGGTCTGAACTACCTTGTTGTTGTTAGGTGCCATCAAATCGGTACTGACTCACAGCAACGCTTTGTACAACAGACCAAAGCACCACCTGGTCCTGGGCCAACCTCACAATTGTTGCCATGCTTGAACCCATTGATGCTGCCACTTTGCCAATCTATCTCACTGGGGATCTTCCAAATAATTCTAATTTTTTTTTATGAACTTTGTTTACTTATCTTCATCTTTATCAAAGTTTAGTTTTAATTTGCTGATTATAATTGTAAATATTACAGAGCTTATGATCAAGACATGTTCACATATTCCATATACTTACTGGTGATGTTGATACTTGGGTTATTCTTAACTGGTTTTCCAAATCTTGTACTTTGTTTTTGAGTTCCATATTTTCCGTTTCTAAATCTTGAATCTAAAAATCAAATGATTATTGAATAACTCTCAAATATTAATTCTTGTAAAATACTGACTACAATATTGTCTGCCATAATACATAGGATCCCATATTATTTTAAATATTTTCATACTCTTTCGTGCACAGGGGGAAAAGTCTTTTGATGAAACTTGGAAAATATTGGACAGTTCTAGCCCATTGAAAAGACATATTATTAAATTAAAAAAAAACATTTTTATGTGCAAATTTCATGTTCCTATGCCTCATCTTTGTGTTGTTTATTTTTTCTGTTGTACTCTGCAATCTATACCCATAATCTCGGAGTATAACCGCAAGACAGTGAAGCTTGTTTATGATGATTTGGAAGAGAGTGGAGAAAGGGTGTAATTTAATTACAAAGGAATCTGATCTGCATGGGAAACCACTTACCCAGCATCTGCTGCTTCTGCTGCTCTGATCCCCATGAGAAGCATCAGGAAGTGAAGCAAAGTCACATGAGAACACTAAGTTCTTGTGGGAATTCAATATAAAATGGTTAAAAACTGTGCAGGGGATCAGGAATGAAAAATTATAGGAACACAGTGAAAGCAGTTCCAATTAGTGTGGGGGAAATTCAATGGCAGGCCTTCTAAGTTTGTTTGATGATATGCAAGTTTTCCTGTCCTTACATCACATAAATATGAAATAAACAACCTTAGTTTACTCACTCTTTTCTGTAATCCTGCAATCTGTTTTCTCGTTTCAACATCTTTTCCTCCAGATTCTAGAAATTTCCTGTACGCTAGGTCGAATGCTTGGCCAATTGTTAAAGTTATCTCTTCAGCCTTTATCAGATTCAAACAAAGAAAATTTGGGTTTCAATAATAATAAATCAGACTATGAACCAAGAAAAATATTCACAGGAGATTTTTTTTATAACATTCACATGAGGTATTTCAAGATACTCTTAGGGTGCAATAACTAGGGAAAGAGATGTAGTAAATGAGCAAAGTGGCCTATGCTAACATCATTATTCAATGTCTTTTAGGTGTAACATACCCTGGCATAGCATGGGGGGAAAATCAATTAAATGAATAGTTGTTGAACTTAGAAGTTCAGAGTTCTGTTCAATTCCTCATCTTTTTCTTCCTGGATTGTTTTCTTTCTTTCCTCAATTATTTAGTGCTTACGTGAAAACACACTGCCAAGGGCAGTTGCTTCTCTTGCTTAGCTATTTATTTCCTCTTCCTAGTGAGAAGAGTTTGTTAAATCAGGCAGGTTAACTTGGAAAATGCTAGATGGGTGGAAACTATGGAAAACTTGAGATATGCCCTTTCTAAATGGGGCAAATACTACTCAATTCAGTTATTGTTGGCTTCTGGAAATGGGCAATTCCAGTTTAGAGTTGTCAGATCTTAAATGTGTGAGTTGAGGTCAGAAATCTGAATTTTTAAGTAATGTCTCCTAGTTTTAAGTGATGGTAAACAGTTCTTGTTTTTGGAGAACACACTGACAAATGAAAAAAATATGTTATTTTAATTTGGTAAACAATTAAATTGGTAAACAAGTTACAATCTCTAATCTATCAACTCTCTGGTAGCGTAGTGATTACGAATCAGGCTGCGAACCTTAAGGCCAGCAGTTCGAAACTACCAGCTGCTCTGCGGGAGAAAGATGAGGCATTCTGCTCCTGTAAAGATTTACAGCCTCAGAAACCCTGTACAGGGTCACAATGGCTCAGAACCGACTCGACGGCACTTAACAACAACAACAATCTATCAGCTAGAACCTGCCATACATATCATAAATCACCACCTAATTCCCATCTACATCTCAACTGGTATCACAAAGTCTTGCACATAGCAAACACTAAATATTTACTTAACATTATTAAAAAGTTTAGTAAATACATTAATAGCCTAATGAATCTTAAATAGGTCATATTTAATAATAGCTCCAGGTCACAGAAACACTTCGCATTGTTGTTAGGTGCCATCGAGTCGGTACCAACTCATAGCAACCCTATGCACAGCATAATGGTCCTGGGCAAACCTCACTACTGTTGCCATGCTTGAGTCCATCGTGCTGCTACTTGGCCTTTCCTTCTCATTGGGGATGTTTCTCTTTTTCTCTGACCCTCCACCTTACCAAACATGATATACTTCTCCAGCAACTGGTCCGTCCTAACAATATGTCCCAAGTATGAGAGACGGAGTTTGGCCATCTTGGCCTCCAAGGAGCACTCTGGCTGCACTTCTTCCAAAACGGATCTATTGGTTCTTTTGGCAGCCCATGGAGCTTTCAATATGCTCCTCCAACACCGTAACTCAAATGCATCAATTCTTCTACAGTATTCCTTATCAACTGTCCAGCTTTCACATGCATATGAGGTTATTGAAAATACCATGGCTTGGGTCAGGAGCACCTTAGCCTTCACAGCAACTCACAAGCCACCACAGTACAACAAACTGACAGATGAGTGGTGGCACAGAAACACTAGCAGTGACATATTAAATATTAAAAATGCCATGGTTTAATCTATTGCTAAACCAAATACTTTGTGATAGGCTATGATCAAGTGAATAGAACATAAATTTAAGCTTTTGACATTGTTATACTTTTTATTTACTATTGCCTTAAGGAAAATTTTAAGCCATAAAAATACTTATATTTAATGCTGCTAGCTAAAAATACTCAAAATATGTGCATGCAATTATATATGAGGACTTTTTTTTTTTTACCAAAAGACTTGTAAAATACTAAAATAAGAAAGATTAAATACATAAAATGCCAGATCCAAAACTGCATGTGGTCAGTGATTCAAATTAATGAAAAAATGTATGCAGAACAAAATTTACTAGTGTTAAATGATGGAATTATGTGTGAAATTTAAAAAATAGTGACTGTGGTTATGTTAGGTTGTGAACTTACCATTTTCTTTGTTTCTAATTTAAAATTTTTGAGAATTAGTTTTGCAATTATTCTTAAGTATGTTTTATTTAACTTTTATAATTATAGGCTCAAGTACCCTTTAAGTAAAATAGTTTAGCTCAAATACTCATGGGATAGAAAGCTGTGACTCTGGAGGAGTAGCAGAGCAGCTGCAGTAGAACCAAGAGCCAGAGCACTAGACACAGTGGTGGGCTCCCAGCTTATGGGGCAAGTAAAGCTGAGTGACTTTGGGCAAGAGGTTTGCATGTTGAGTGAGGTGTCTCCAGGCACTTAACAGTGGGAGTTAGGTTTGCTAGCCCACTGGGCTAGAGCTGTGTGTCTCCAAGCTGAGGCTTATGGTGGAGTGGTGTGCTCTGTGAACATTTAGTGGCAGCCCTAAAAGAGCTTTGTAAGATTATTGGATCAGGGGAAAGGGCTGATGGTCATAGAGGGGTCTGTCTATGAGCATAGTAGAGGAGAAATTGATTTAACCAGAAACTGTATTTGGAAATATTTTGACCCTGGATTGTAATCTGTTAACTTCCATAATAACTCTCATAACTGTGAGTATGGTTTTCAAGTTCTGTGTGGCCACTGTAATGAGTCATAGAATCTAGCTGAGTAGAAAAGGCTGTGGGAGGAATGTTTGGTGGTCAATGTTTTACATATATGTTAATATTATGGTACAATGCTTCATGCTAATATCATAAGAAGCTCTAGTGGTGCAATATTAATTGTTTGGATGCTAATGTAAAGGTCGGCAGTTCAAACTGACATATAGTGACTCTATAGGAAATATATTTAGTGATCTGCTTCCATAAAGATTACATCCAAGAAAACCCTAGGGCAGTTTGAATCTGTCAAATAGGGTCACTGAGTCAGAATCAACTCAACAATACACAACCACAATAGCAATGATATTCATTTAAAAGTTTGTTCAGTTTTAAATAATGGGAGAAAACAAAAGAATCTTCTAATTTTTATCATTTCTACTGTTTGAACTGCCGTAGGTTGGCAGTTTAAACCCACCATTTGCTCTTTGGAAATCCTACACAGTGTCCAACTAGATGGCACTTAACAACAACAACTTTTTTTTTTTTTAAGCCCTTTCTGTATATTTAAATTTTCTTTTATTGTAATTTCCTTTCAGGCTGAAGAATTTTCTTTAGCATAACTTGTAGTGAAGTTTTATTAGCAATACATAGCTTCTATTTTAATTATCTCAAAAATGTTTTAGCTTACCCTTAACTTTTGAAAGATGTATCTAACACACATGCAAGGGGCTTCAAAAAGTTCATGGAAAAATTTCATTTTCATTTTATTTTTAGAAGCTCTTTTGTACAATTCTGCAATGGCATCCTTTTTTCTCCTTAAGCATGTTAACGTTATCATTATAGTCACCTTTGACTTCTAGTGATATTGATTAAGTCAGCTGTTATTCATATTTTTTCTCTGTATCGAATATGTCTTGTTTCCTTAGCTGCTTTAAAGAGCCTAACCCCTCTTTGTCAGTTTTTACACTCTCTATTTTATACCCCAATTTTTATGTGTTTATTTAACATCACGGAGTCCTGGTATGGTGCTGTGGGTTACTGTGCTGGACTGCAAAGTTGGTTTGAACTTCAAGTTGGTGATTCAAGCTCACACCAGCCGCTCCTCAGAAACCCTATACAGGGTCACTATGGGTTTGAACTAACTCAAGGGCACTTAACAACAATAATTTATTGTCACCCTCTTTTTCCTTTAATTGGCTGAACATATTTACAATAGTGGCATTGCCATTTTTAAGTATTACAGATACATTTGAAGTTTTCTTTAATTATTAACCTTAATTCTGTTTCTCTTTGTCTTCCATAGAGGTAACAGTCATAGTTTGTGTATGCTTACAAACAAATTCTATGGTTTTTACCCTATATGCATATATTTGCATATGATATACCAGTATCACAATATCAAAATTTTACTACAAAAGTAACTAGTTAGTCTGCTTGGGCCAAAATTTAAAGCATCAGAAACCCTATACAGAGTCACTATGAGTTGGAATACTTAAACACCAGTAAAAAGTTAGTCTAAAATTCTTCATTGGTGTGACACTGTAGGTTAATGTGCTATGTCGATGGTTCAAGCTCACCAGCGGCTCCTTGGAAACCTTATACAGGGTTGCTTTGATTCAGAACCGATCCGACTGCACTTAACCACAACAATGACAATATTAATATGACATATTCATTACTAATAACATTTGTAATATCAAAATGTTACATACAACGGAGCTTTAAAGATTCATGGAAAAATTCTATTATCTTTTCATTTCAGTTTTCCACAATCTTTTTGAAACCTTCTCATATTATATGTCTGCCCAATGAAAGAAATTTTAACATATGTATTCTTAATTGATTTAACCTGAAAACAATTTTGCTAATGGAGTGCTATTCTTGACTTAAACATCAAAAGTTAAATATTTAGAACCATGGAACAAGTTGGCCAAATAGCTGATGAATGAGAAGAGTAGGAATATGATGCATATCACCTTCATGCTTCATTCACCTCCCACACAAGAAACATAATTCTCTATATTAGAAAAAAAATTCATTATCCGGTAAATATGTATAAATTTTTGGGTGAAGATAAGTTTTCATTTATCTGGGATAAATGATCACCTGAATCATTTATTTATTATAGTAGTTTCGTGTTTAGTTTTTTGTGACACTGCCAATTGTTTTCTGTAGGTTGTACTATTTTTAAATCTTCACCAGTTATGTATGAGTGATTTAGTTTCTCTGCATCCTCCCTCACAAGCATTTAGTGTTATCACAATTTCTTATTGTATCTATTTGGATATTTCTGTGGTGATAACCCATTATGATTAAAATTTGCATTCCAATAATGCAAATGGAGTCCTGGTGTGGCAACT